CGCCCCAACCTTCCTTATTCTATGGTCCAGCCAAACTGTTTCTCATACAGATTTGCTGTTCATCACGCATTTCCCTCCTCCACGCCTTTGCACTGGCTGTTTCCCCTGCCTGGTATGTTGTCTCCCAATCTTGAATTCCTAGTTTTATTCAATATTCAACTAAAGAGTTATCTCCTACATGAGGCCGTACCCGATTCCACTTTCCAATGAATAATGCCCCCCAATTACATTGTATCTATTTTGTATATATCTATATCTGTGTCTATCTGTATGTTTTCTCTTTTGGTTAGATTGTAAACTCCTGGGACTATTTCATTAGAGTCTTTTTCCCCCAGTATCTAGCACAGTGCCTGGCACATAGTAAGCACTTAATAATTGCTTGTTGAAGGTTTTTTTCCCCTGGGAGGGGGTTGAAAAGAAGAAAAATAGATGTTCGATCACTGGAAACAAATAATTTTAAAAATGCTTGCTGATCGATTCAATCCAAGTTCCTCATTTTTCAGAGTTGGAAACTGAGGCCCAGAGAGGAAAGAAGATGCAAAGGAAATATGACAGAAATCCTGTCGTCCCTTGTTTCACAATCTAGCAGAGGGAACAAAACCATTACACACACCAAATGAAGAAACGAGCTGTTAGCAGTTGAGGGAGCAAAGATTCAAACCCAGGCCCTGGGCCTTCGGATCCAGCATCCTCCAGGATCTGTTTCTTGGTGCCTTCTTTGCTCAGCCTTAGGCCCATGCTGGATCAGAAGGTTGTGTTCCCTCTTTACTCGTGAAGAGCACTTCAGCCTTCCCTGAATCACGCTTGCACAGTCCTCGACCCACACCCGGACTCAGATTCCCACAATGGAAAGAAACATTAGGGAAGTCTGAGTCAGAGCTCAGTCATCGTCAATGATTGACTGACAAGAGTAGAAGATTCCTCCATCTGAGGGTCCTTTTCTAGTCCCCCAGTTTCCCATTTCCATCAGCATGAGTCAAATTGACCTTCCATAGAAGCTTCCCCTTGAAAGTGTCAGCAGAGTCTTCATTGATAGCTCTGATGTATCACTCTCCATGCTCAAACACCTTCCATGGCTCCCTATTACCTCTAAGATAAGATGTGAACATCTGTTTGGCAGTTAAAGCCTTTCTTGACCAGACTCCAGCCCCCTGTGGCGGCATCACAGTAGTGGATGGCCTCAAAGCCCCTGCCACCTCCCTGGGCAAGTTACTTAACCTTTCAGTTTTCTAAGTGACTCTCTAAGCCAGTGGTTCTCAAAGTGTAGCCCAGGGACCTCTGGGATTCTCCAAGACCCTTTCAGGGTCTCCATGAGGTCAAAACTACTTTCCTAATAATAGTAAGATATTCTAACTTCTAATATGGCATAGATAGAATCCACATAAACAAAAAAAAAGTTATTTAGGGTCCTCAATCATATTTAAAGGTATAAAGGGGTCCTGAGGACAAAAAAAAATTTGAGGAATACTGCTGGGTCAGCAAATTGCCCCCCCCCATGCCAATCTGTATTGGTAGAAGGTGCTTCCTCACCAAGGAGCTCCTTATACCACAAAAACAATAGGGCAGGTAGCTCCCCCGTCCACAACCAGACTCTGTGATAACTTTCCAATCTGCTTTCCTACTTCTCCCCCCAAGCGTCCTCTGTATTCCACGGGAATTGGCCTTCTCCCTGACATTCCGTCTGCCTCTGTCCATCCCTTTGCAAAGACCAGCCTCCATGCCCAGAATGTTCCCCTTCCTCACCTCTACCCAGAGCATCACTCAAAACACACACGCCAGCCCCCTCCTCCATGAGGTCTTTGCTGATGCCCCCTCTACCCACCCTCAGCACCCAAGGGCAGCTAGGTGGTGCAGTGGATAGAGCTCGGGGCCCAAAGTCAGGAAGACCCGAGTTCAAATGCAGCCTCAGACACTTACTATCTCTGTGACCCTGGGCAAGTCAATTTACCCTGTTTGCCTCAGTTTCCTCATTTGTAAAATGAGCTGGAAAAAGAAATGGCAAACCACTCTAGTATCTCTGCACAAAAAAAGCCCAGATGGATTCATGGAGAGTCAGACATGACTGAACAGCAAACTCACCCTGAAATTTCCTTGTGTTTACTTTCTATATTTTTATTTGCTCATATATACGCATTTCACATTTACTCATATGTGCACCGCATTATTTTTTCCCTTAGTACAGTGTTAGCTTTATGACAGCAGGACTGAGCCATTTTTTCTTTGCAGCCTAGCCCTTGGCACATAATTGAGGATTTATAAATGCTGATTGACTTGAATTAAATGGAACTGACCTAACTCTTGACTATTTCCCATCAATACCTGAGTATTTTAAGAATCATAGATTTCAGGGCAGCTAGGTGGTGCAGTGGACAGAGCTCCAGCCTTGGAGTCAGGAGGACACCGAGTTCAAATCCAGCCTCAGACACTTGACACTTATTAGCTGTGTGACCCTGGGCAAGTCACTTAACCCAAATTGTCTCACCAAAAAGCAAAAGAAAAAAAAAAGAATCCTAGGTTTCACTGGCCTAGGTTACCTTTCTGTGATATAGCTCCTACATCCTGCTACAGCTTGTAAGATGGTCTTTAAGAGCCACTGTGGCCAAAAATGTCATGCCTCTGAAGCCAACATGGTAATAAGTGTCTCTGAACTTCCTCGATGATCCTTGGATCACAAACAGTTCATGTATCTCTGGGTCAAAACCCATTCATCACACATGAGATAGCTCTAATCATTAAAAGGTTTTCCTTGCATCAAGTACCAATTTGTTGTTGTTCAGTCTTTATAGATGTGTCCAACTCTCCCTGACCCCACTTGGGGTTTTCTTGGCAGAGATCCTGGAGCGATTTGCCATTTCCTTCTGCAGCTCATTTTACAGATGAAGAAACTAAGGCAAACAGGGCGAAGTGACTTGCTCAGCTAGTAAGTATCTGAGGTCAGATCTGAACTCAGGAAGATGAGTCTTCTTGACTCTAGGCTCTGTACACTAGGGTGCCATGTAGCTGCTCAAGTGTCACTCTGCCTTTCTGCAACTTCCACCCCACCTCAGTCTCCTCGTTAGTGAAATAGAATTATAGAGTATCCTGATGCAAAGGAGTGAGTGCTAGACTTTGAGCCAGAGGACGGGGATTGAATTCCAACTCTGCCACTTATTTGAGGCAGAAACTGAAGCCAGGCCTCCCAATAAAGCCACGTGGTACAGTGGATAGAGCATTGGATTTGGGCTCAGAGGTCCTGGGTTCCAATCTAACTCCTCCTGTGTGATCCAGGACAATGTCAACAAAAATAAGAGATAACATTCATACAGTGCTTTCAAGTTTGCAAAGCAGTTAACATATTATCTCATCTGATCCCCACAACAAAGGAAGACCCACTTGTGAGTTAGGGAGGGGTCAGTCCTGTCTTTCTGGATTTTATCTAGAAACCCATCATTCTGAAAGATGAAGACTTGGAAACTCACACCTCCTCAGATCATTTCTCTCCGTGGCGTCATAAAGTCATCATATCCCTTGCTTGGGTACCACCTCCCTCCCACCTTCCTTCCTCCTATCCCTTTTCAGCTTCTTTTTCTGTGTTGTCTCCCTCCCCCCAGTAGACTGTAAGCTCCTTGAGGGTAGGGACTGTCTTATGCCTTTTTTTTGGTATCCTAACACTTAGCACAGTGCCTGGCATATAGTAGGTGCTTAATAACTGTTTATTGACTCTGATACTCCCCCTATTTTACAAATGAGGAAACTGAGGCTCATAAAGGTAATATAACTACAGGATCAAGTGTCTATAGCAAAATTTGAACTTAGGTCTTCTCAACTCAAACTCCCTTGCTCTATCCATTATACCATCACGGCTTCTCTGGTTGAATGTCCTCAAATGGACCTTATTTTTCTCCTTTGTAAAACAAAGGAGTTGGATCAAATGACCTTTAATTTCCCTTCCAGCTCTAAATCCACATCCTGGTGAGTTAGAGATGGAAAGGATCTTAGAGGTCATCTGGTTCAATTCCCTCATTTAACAGATGAGGAAACAGGTTCACAGGTGGTGACTTCTCCCAGGACCATGAGGCCAGAACATTAGCAGAGTTGGGGTTACAACTCTATCCAAGTCTAGTGCTACCCTACCAGGGTGTTGTAGGGACAGGCTTTAAGAAAGTACAAAATGCTGTAAGAATGTGAGCCATCGTTATTGTTATTAATAGTATTATACTTCTAGTGCAGGGGTAGGGAAGCTGAGGCCACATGGGCCTTCTAGGTCCTTGGATGTGGCCTTTTGAGTGAGTCCAAGTTTTACAGAACAAATCCTTTTATTAAGGGGATTTGTTCTGTGAAGTTCGGAGTCCATCAAAGGGCTGCACTTGAGGACCTAGAGGGCCACATGTGGCCTTGAGGCCACAGGTTGCCCACCCTGTTCTAGTGTCTTTCTTGAGCTGTTAGAGCCGGCTGGCTCTAACATCTGCATCCAGCTAGCTGAACTGAAGACAGACTTTTCCTCATCCTCATCAGACCTAGCATAGGACACTGTATATCATGGGTGCCACATAATCAGCATGAACCAGCTAACAAGCTAACTGTATACACATAGGTAAGCATCTGCCTACTGGATGCCACTTGACCTCAAGCAAGTCACTTTATCTCCCTGGGCAGCTAGGTATCCTTGTGAGCACTGGTCCTGGAGTCAGGAAGACCTGAGTTCTAATCCTTCCTCAAGATTCCTCAGGAATCCTGCCCCACTTAAATTCTATTGGCTTCAGTTTCCTCACTGAAAAATGAGGATAATAAAAGCATTTTCTCCCAGGGTTGTCATGAAGATAAAATGAAATAATATTTGAAAAGCATTTCATTCCATAAATGCTAGCTAGCTAGCTCAGCTGTAAAAACTCACCTGTAAAAACAAGGGGATTAGAGACAGCCTCTGAGGTCCCTTCCATCCCTGACTCTACGATCTTATTATTCTAAGAGCTCCCTCGTCAAAATACCCAGAATCCAAACAAAGGTAGAAGCTTACTTACCTCTGGGGACTTCATTATGTTCTGGAAGATAGTATAGGCAATGATTGAACTTGATCCCATAATGCTGGCAGAAAAGAAGAAAGCAGCTATGCATTAATCACAACTCAGTTTAAAGGCATTGGTCACTCGGTTCCAGAGGACCAAGGAAGAAACACATTTTCCCCTCTGAGTAAAAAAGGTGGAGGCCTACAGGGACAGAATGTTGTGTATACTCTCAGATGTGGGCACTGTGCAGTTAGATTTCCTTGACTGTTTTTCTCTGTTACAAGAGAGGATTCTAAGTGGTGGTGAGGCTATATCTAACATGACCAACCCATAAATCCCAAAAGGCATTAATAAAGATTTTGGTTAAAAGGCAGCTAATTAAAAACAGACTAGGAGACCTTGTTTGGCCATCAAATTTGACTTTAAGGAGGTTTTGCAAGAAATGACTAGAGCAGTGAATTTAGAGCCAAAAAGACCTGGATTCGAATCCCACTTCAGACACTTAAGTAGGTGTGTGCTCTTGGGCAAGTCACTGCATCTCAGGTTTCTCCTCTTTAAAACAATAGGGGTTGGACAAGACCCTTCTCTCTAGTTTTAGATCTATGACACTCTGCTCCTGTAATACAACTTATTAGCTTGCTTAATCTGTCTGCCTCAGTTTCCTCATCTGTAAAATGGGAATGATAATAATAGCAACAACCTCCCAGGAGTGCTGTGAGGCAGACATTAAGTCAAATAGATCCACACACCTTAAAGTGCTATAAATAATTCAGCTAACATCAACCATTTCATTTGGAGGGGGGAAAGTCTCAACTTCATTGCATCACTCTTTAGTTTCAAGATGTCACTAGGGGAAAGGGCACTGGGGCACTCTGAAGGGAAGAACATTACAACTCTGCAGAAAAAAGATAAAAGAAGCCAGGGTCGGGGGCTCCAGATTCGCTAAGACTCCCTCATGCCCACCCTTCCTCCACCAGGTGAAGTAGACGTACCTGAGGGTAGCCATGACAAACTGTATCCATTGTATGGCAGAAAAAATCTGAGGAGGGGGAAAAGAGGAGAAATATGAAAGTGAGATTTTCGGTGAAAAAAAAAGAATCTGAAAGCTGGAAGGGGCCTTGGAGGTTTTCTACTTCAACCTCTTCATTTTACAGATAGAGAAACTGAGGCCCAAGGAGGTCATAGGGGCCCAGATCTAGAGCTGGAAGAGACTTTAGAGCCCACACAGAACAACCACCCATGTTACAAATGGGGAAACTGAGGCCCAGGGAGTTGTAGTAACTTGCCCAACATCCTAGGCACTAGTTGTTAATCTGGGGTCCCTGAACTCATCTTTCAATATTTTGATAACTGTACACTACAATCAGCTTCCTTTGTAATCTTATGTATTTTATTTTACGTATTTAACATCATGATTCTGAGAAGGGATCCCTAGGTTTCACTATACCGCCAAAGGGGTCTATGACACAAAAAAAGGTTAAGAATTCCTGCTAGAAGAACCTTAGGGGCTATCTAACCCAACCCTCTCATTTTACAGATGAGGAAACTGAGGCCCAGAGAGGGTTTAGTGATTTCTCCAAAGTTATACAGGTAGCAGGGAGGCAGAGCGGAGATTTGAACCCAAACCCTCTGACCTCACTCACCACCAGAGCTGCTTCCACTTTCACTCAAATGTTCCTATCTTATTAGTACACAGCTGTCCAGCCAAAAGACATTTCTAATTAACCAACCCACAAGCATTTATTAAATGGCTACTGTGTGCTAGATACTAAGCTAGGCACTTGGAGAAACAAGTACCAAGGGTGAAACAGTCTCTGCAGGGAACTTGCATTCTAATCGAGGAGATAAGCAAAAATATACAGAATAAAGATAAAGAGAATAAACCCAAATAAATACAAGCAAGGTAGTTGGGGAAGGCTAGGTGCTGCAATGGATAGAGCCTGGAGTCAGGAAGACTCACCTTCCTGAGTTCAGATGTGACCCCAGACACTTAACTGTATGACCCTGGACAAGTCACTTCACCCTATCTGCCTTGGTTTCCTCATCTATAAAATGAGCTGGAGAAGCAAGCAACTCTAGTATCTTTGCCCAAAAAGCCCCAAATAGATCACAAAGAGTCAGACAAATTGAAACGACTGAACACCAACAAGTTGGGGAGGGTGGGCACTAGGAGCTGGGGGAGCAGTAAAGGCTTGTGGTAGAACACGGTCCTTGATTTGGTTCTTTAAAGCTCCAAGAAAATGAAGACTAAATAGGACGAGGCATGGGGATGAGAAGAAGGGGAGCAGAACGGAGGCGTGGAGAAACAGCTGCCGAGGCGGGGGCTTCACCACCTATCCCAGAGCCCAAAGGGCCCTAAAGCTAGTGGGGTAAAAGCGCCAGTCTGGGGCCTGGATGACCTGATTGCTTCGGAATGCTCAGACTCCTGCATCGCCTTCAGGGATGTGCCTACAAGATGGGGGAGGGAAACAGGAAGAACAGAGAAACAGGAGGAAAGGGAAAAGGGAGACATGAGTGAGAAAATAAATAGAAGGAAAAGGGAAAAGAGAGGAAGAGGAATGCCAGAGACAAAGAGATGGGGAGGAAAGTGAGTGAGACAGAGAGACAGAAGTACAGGGAGGGAGAGAAAGGAGAGTGAAGAAGAGAGACAGAGACAGGGACAGAGAGAAAGAAGGGGGGAGAGAGAGAGAGATGGGGAGAAGAGTGAGAAAGATAGAGGAGAGACAGAGAGGGAGATAGAGGAGGGAGGGAAACAGAGGAAGAGACAGAGAGATGAGAAAGAAGCAGACAGGAGAGAGACAGAGAGGAATAAGAGAGACAGATGGGGAGGAGAGTAAGAAAGATAGAGGAGGCAGAGAGATAGAGAGAAACAGACAGACAGAGACAGAGACACAGAGACAGACAGAGACCCAGAGACAGACAGAGACCCAGAGACAGAGAAGAAAGGAGAAGAGAAGAGAGGAGGAGAGAAAAGAAAATCAATGAAAGGAAAGAAACGTGAGAGCGCTAACATGAGAAATGGAAAAAGAATGAAGAGGAGGGGGCTATGTGGGGCTGAGACACTCAACAGAGCTCAATTGCCATAGTACTAGAGTGAGGGGAGAGAACAGAAGAATGGAGAAAACTAGCAAACAGAGGGAAAAAGGAAGGAGCGCCTAGGGACGAGGGGCAGAGGACAGGAAGGAAAGGAGGCAGGAAAGAAAGAGGGCTAGCCCTTCCCTGAGGGTCCCCGGGGCATCCTCACCGAGTCCCACTTGTCTTCCAGGTAGCTGGCCTCCGATGGGAGGGCCATGGGGCCCCGGGTCCCAGTGCTCCCCACAGAAGTTTGCCTGGCTCTGAGTCCTACGGCCTCTGCCAGATAGCTCCTCCCCCAGTCCAGCCCCGGAGAGCTCCTCCCCTGCCCATCCAGCCAAGCTCCTTGAGGTCAAGGAGAGAGTGTGGAGAAAGGGGAAGGAAGAAAGCCCAGGTAAACCCATTTCCTCCTTCACTTGAGTTCTGATTTCATTGACACACAGAATTGTTATGGGCCCTAGAGATTAGGCAGTCCAGCAGCCTTCACTTTACAGATGAGGAGACTGAGGCCCACAGCGGACCTCTCATAGCTCACCCAAAGAATGAGTCTAGGAGAGCAAGTAAAGGGGGAATAAAGACTTAGAGGAGGAAAGGGATGAAAAACAGTGAGAAAAAGAGTGGGAAAGGGAGGGGGAGGGGAATAACAGGAGACAAACTGAATGAAGAGAGAAAGTGAAGAGGACATCATGGGGGGGGGGGCTAAGCCCCAAGGAAAAGAGGAAGTGCCAGAGAGGGGACTCTACTGTAGCTACAGGCAGAGCCTTAACTGAGAGTTCTCGTGCTCAGTAGAAGGCAGGCCCCAGGAGCAGGAAAGGTCCCTCCACGTTCCCTCAAGACAAATTCAAATGAAGGAAAGGAGGTGGACAGAGCTTGGATTTGGGGACACAAGGCCCCCTGGAGAAGCCAAATCCATGGAGTATTTCCCCACAGTGGAGAGGCAGAGACCCCAGAACATAGCTGCTAAGTCCCTAGGGAATAAATGCAAGAGGCAGGATTAGAACCCAGATCCTTGGACTGCAAGCCCTACACTTTTTTCCCTTGTCATGTGCTAATCAGGGGGAGAAGGAGTGGATCAGGAAAAGCTTCATGGAGGAGGAGGTACCCAAGCTAAGCATTGAAGTAAGAAGAGGTAATATGGGACAGGGAAAGGTGCATTGGCTTTGGAGTCAGAGGACCTGGGTTCAAATCTTACCTCTGACTCAGTAGCCTGTATGACTTTCATGAAGTCATTTTACTCCCTTGTGATTCAGTTTCTTTTTCTGAAAAATGAGAAGTTGGACTAAGTGGGCTTGAGGGTCCCTTCCAGTTCTGATCTGTGAAGGCAAGGATCCTGTTGGGGCATATAGACTCCTCTATATTAGGAGACACTTTTCCAGAGCTAAGTCCAGCGAGCAAGCTGTGCCCTGAGCTTGGCATAACAACAATCCTTTGCACTCAGCCTCTGGATGATCTCAGCCCCAGCAAAATTACAGAACTGTTTCCAGTCAAAGCCCTGCTAGGAATCAGAGCTGCCACATTGTTGCAGTCATCCTCATTGTCCGGGCTACAGCTCACTGCACAGCTGTAGGTACAAGTATTGCGGATCTCCCCACACTGCCCTGGGTCCCCCCATGAGGGGCGGGGCCCTGGCACTCTCTGGTTGGCAAGCCTTTTCCCTCACTTTGAAATCAAACTCCTTTTTGATCTCTGATTCTGTCTCTAGCCTGCTTTGTTCGGCTGTAGATGGCTGCTTCTGACAAGTTAACACTCCTTACGTCTGGACAGATGTGTTTTTGTAGTGTGGGAAGAGCCCGAGACCTAGACAGCAGCATGGTGTTGCAGAAAGGATGTTAGCTCTGGAGTCAGCAGCTGCCGAGTTCAAATCCTACCTGCTACCTTGGTGACCACGGTGGAAAGGTCTGGGCACCTGGCTAGTTGAACTGGGGGCTAAGCTCCTTATTCCTACCTGCGGAAGGGAGATAAGCCTGGTCAGCCCTCTCTGAGTTTGGAGGTCTGGACAAAGGTGGCTGAGGTGGGAGGGAAAGGATACATCTCTCGTTTATGATTCCAATAAATATTTATGGAGCATCTACTCTAGGCCAGGCTTTGTGGGGGACACGAAATAAATCAGGCATATCCCTGCCTTGAAGAAGTTTATAGTCAGGGGCAGCTAGGTGCAGTGGATAGAGCACTTCTCCTGGAGTCTGGAGGACCTGAGTTCAAATCTGGCCTCAGATACTGATACTTGGGGATACTCAGATACTCAGATACAGCTGTGTGACCTTGGGCAAGTCACTTAACCCTGACAGAAGAAGAAGAGGAGGAGGAGGAGGAAGGAGGAGGAGGAGGTCTCAGTAGGTTCCCTGAGGGCAGGGACATTTGAATCTTTGCATCCCTGTCCCAGGACAAAAGGCCTTGCAGGCCTTCAGAAAATGCTTGTTGGGATGGATTGGATTGAACTCTAATGAGGGGCAGTGTTTCCCAGGGGATAGCATCCGGGACACTGCCCTCTAACATTACCAGCTGTGTGACCCCTGAGCTAAGCTCTCGTGTGGCAGAGTGGGCATCTTGCTTTCTTACTGTTTCTCACACGATTGTCCATCCACACTCTTACACCCCATTCCTGGAATGCACTCCCACCTCACTTCCACCTCTTACAAGCCTTTAAACATTCTGCCCAGGTGCCATCTTCTACATGAAAATATTCCTAAGCCACCCAATTGCCCCTCCCCCGCAAAAAATTAACATGTTAATTAGCTGGCCTCAGAGCCAGGAAGACATGGGTTCGAATCTCAACTCTGACAGATCCCATGTGACCTAACCCTCTGTCGGGTGCTTAATGTCTCAGTGCCCTAGGCAACTCTGTTAAGATTATAAACTTAAGAGGAGATGCCACCTTGCAATGGTCTGATATTCCTTAGAGGACTTCCTTATACCCATGAAATCATAGCGATCATCCTATGCAGAGGCAGCTGAGTGGTTCAGTGGATGGCACCTGGCACCTCAGGTAAACCTGAGCCTGGATCCTCACCAGCTTGCTATCTGTGTGGCCTTTGGCAGGTCATCTAACTACTTTTGGCCTCAGTCTCCTCATCTGTAAAATAGGGATAACAATAGCATATGCCCCTGGTCAAGACACTTCACCTTTGTCTGCCTCAGTTTCCTCAATAGTAAAAAGGGGATTAAAATAGCACTTACCTCCCAGGGTTGTTACGAGAATCAAATGAGATAATATTCCTGTAGAACCTAGTACAGCGACCGGTCCATAGTAGATGCTTAATAAATTATTGTTTCTTTCCTTCCTTCCCTCCTTCCTTCCTTCCATGATCAAACTGAATGAAATCCAGACATTTTTTTTGGCCTGGCATTCAAGGCCCTCTGTGGTTAGCTCCCCTGCCCCCTCCTTTCAGTCATCATCTTCATGCTTTTCAGACAAGACCAAGCTGGACTATTCTGCTTCCCAAACTCATCCTGGGATTTCCTGCCTCCATGCCTTTTTTTCACTCTCTTCCTCTGCCTTGAATGCCTTCCCTCCTCATCTGTTCCTCCTTCTGTTGGCGACCTCACCACTCAGCCAGGCTCTCCTATCTGATCTCATGCTATTTTTAACCCTTTGAGCTCTCTCCCCTGGTATGGCTAATTGGCTGCCAGATCTGGTGCAGGCTCCATTTCCAGCAGTATCTCTTGCCTTGGGTCTCGCCTCTCTGTTCTCATGCCATCACTCTAGGCTAGGTGCCATCACTCCCCGGGATGGTGGAAAGAAGGATGGAGTCGGAAGACCTCAGTTCAGTCCCTAACTCCACCACTGACTTCCTGGGGGATTTGGGGGGCAAGTCAGTTAACTATCCTAGACCCCTTTCCTTCCATCTAAAACAAGGGGGATAGACTGGCTGGCCTTCCATCTCTAAATCTGTGATTTAAAATCCTGCCTACTAGGACTCCTCCTCCCATGGACACACAACAGGTCTCCCCCCTTCCTTCTGCTGTGTGTGCTCTTCGTACCAGAATCTTCTTCCCTATGCACTGCTCAGTTCATTTCCTGACTCTGCTCAAGAATCTTCCATGGCTCCCCACTACCTAACCAACAAAGTTTAAACTACTCTGCTTGTCACTGTTTCTGTAATCAAGCACCATCCTACTTCTCCAACCTTATCTTCTTCTCCTTTCCTATAGATTCCTAGAGTTGATTCCAACAAGTAGCATTTATGTAGCATTTTAAGATTTGCGGAGCTATCTCATTTGATCCTCACAACAACCCCGAGAGGCGGGTGCCCTTATTATTCCCATTTTGCAGATGAGGAAACTGAGTCAGGCAGCAGTTAAGTGACTTGATCGCTGTTGCTCAGTCATTCCAGTCATGTCCGACTCTTTCTGACCCCATTTGGGGTTTTCTTAGCAGAGATCCTGGAGTGGTTTGCCATTTCCTTCTCCAGCTCATTTTACAGATGAGGAAACTGAGGCAAATAGGGTCAAGTGACTTGTCCAGGGTCACACAGCTGGTAAGTGACTGAGGCCAGATTTGCACTTGGGAAGATGAGCTTTCCTGACCCCAGGCCTGGGGCTCTGTGCACTATGGTGCCACCTAGCTGCCACATGACTTGGGTGATGCCTAATAAGTATTCAGAGCAGCATTTGAACTCAGGCTTCACCAACACCAGGCTGAACCCACCAGGCACCCTTAAATAGGCTTATCTTATACTTTTGATCGCTCTTTTCCCTGTCCTTGGAACATCCTCCCTTCCCTTCACCACCTGTTGAATTTCTGAAGTTAGATTTACTAAATGGGCCAAACTCTAGGGATTCAAAAGCAAATGTAGGGGGCAGCTCGGTGGCACAGTGGATAGAGCTCTGGCCTTGGAGTCAGGAGGACCTGAGTTCAAATCCAGCCTCAGACACATTAACACTCACTAGGGGTGTGACCCTGGGCAAGTCACTTAACCCCGATGGCCTCACCTAAAAAAAGCAAAAAAAAAAAAAATAAGGGGCAGCTAGGTGGCGCAGTGAATAGTGCACCAGCCCTGGAATCATGAGGATCTGAGTTCAAATGTGGCCTCAGACACATAACACTTTCTAGGTGTGTGACTCTGGGCAAGTCACTGAACCCCAATTGCTTCAGCAAAAAAAAAAAAAAAAGCAAATGCAAAACAGCATCTGCCCTCAAGGGGCTTACACTCTAGCGGCATGATCATCTACTCTCCTCTAATAGGAGAGATAATGTGAAGATACAGACAGAGGAGAAGGAGGGAAAGTCTGGAGGAGGCAATGCCAGCACCTGGGAGCCCCGGGAAGGAGCCAGGAAAACCAGGAGGTAG